TGTGGTTTGGTAGGAGAAAATGATCCTTCTGTGGCTTTTAAAGGCTCTGAGGTTAAGGCAGGCCTGGTCAGAGCTGGTCTAGAACGTGTTCCTAATCCCAGTGCTCTGTTTTAGACATTTTGGGATTAAAAACAGGTGAATGTGAAATGCTGGATCCGAGGCAGCTGAGCAGGGTGTTGGGTTTGGCTTTGGGAATGAGTGGGTGTGCGACAGGGGTGTCTGCTCCTCCCATGGGAGCGCTCCTTCGGCACCTCCCGAATCCAGTGCTCCTGCTGGGATTGCTGGGATGCTCCCCTGGCCTCGGGGCTGCTGCTCAGCAGCTTGTCCTCTTCCCCCTGGGAAACCTGGCAGGGATCTGCATGGAGCTGCTGTGGAAAAACCCCAGCTGGCCTGGGAAGCACTGGGGTTTACTGGTTTTATCTTCACTGGTTTTGCTCCCAGTTGAAGGGGGAGGGTTTGGGGATTCCACGCTGTCACACAGGTTTGGGATGGAGCTGTGTGAGGTGGGAGGTGTTCAGGCTGGGGTGGATGAGGGTTCCAGGCTGGGAACTGGGATTTGAAAATCCAGGTCCAGCCTAAGAGCCAGACTAAAAACCAGCTCCTGCTTGAGCGTGGAAACACAAAACTCATGGTGGGCAGGGTTGGATCCACTTTGGGATCGCTCAGAGTGCAAAACAGGCACCATTCTTGGGAAGAAGTGTCCAAGGCCAGGCTTGGGGCACCCTGGAGTAGTGGAGGGTGTCCCTGCCCACGGCAGGAGGTGGAATGGGATGAGCTTTAAGGTCCCTTCCAAACCATTCCAGGGTTCTTGTGAAAGGGCAGCCCCGAGCCCCTGCCCAGGGATGCTCTCCCGGAGTGCAGATTGCAAGTGGCTCTTGAACCTGGGAGCTTGGATTCCTTTGCACCTGGAAATCCATGGGGAAAATCCTTTAATTTCTCAGCTCTGGGGTTGGACACTTGGCTTTGGTTATCCGGGTGTTCCATGGAAATCCAGCCGCCTGCAATGGCAGCAGTTGGCTCCCTCAGGATCCACCAGACCCAGCAGAAACAGCTCCTGGCTGCAGCCCTCGTCCTTCTCCACAAGTAAAGCTCCTCAGAGATCCCCTTGACACAAATCTTTCCATGTGTTCCCTTTTCCCCAGCTCAGTGCAGCCCCCCAGCCCCTCCTGGAGAATATTCCCAACCCTGAGCCAGCCCTTCCAGCTGATAATCTGTGGTGAGCGTTTCTGCTCCCCGCTCCAGCTGCTTTTTGGGCTGCCCCTGGCAGAGGTGAGAGCTGCTCTGGCTCTCCCTGTCCCTTCAAGCCCAGCTTTTCCTTTGTTCCCGTTAATCTGTGCACGTGCAGCTCCGCTGGCTTTAGGGGCTGGATAACCAGCCTTTAAAAACTGCTTATAAGGACAGATCCAACCCAGATAAACCAGCCAGAGCTCGTGTCGGGAGCCGTCACAGGCTGGCGTTTCTTTTCCAAACATCTGTGGGAGCCGGAGATCTTCCGTTGGTTTTTTTGGCTTTGCGAGGCAGGAAAATCCATCAGCAGGGAAATCAAACAGCTCAGCCCAGCCTTTAACTCCTCATCCCTGCAGAAAGAAAGAACAGCATCAGCTGTGCAGGGATGGAGCCTGCTGTGCTCAGCAGGAGTGAACCGTGCTGCCCCCTCAGCCTGCTCACACCTTCATCCCCGGGAGGGATAGCCTGGATTTTGGGCTGGGACATGGAGGGATAGCCTGGATGATGTTGTGCCAGGATAATCTGGATTTTGGGCTGGGGCACAGAGGGATAAATGGATGGTGTTGTGGCAGGATAACCTGGCTGCTGGGCTGGGACATGGAGGGATAGCCTGGATTTTGGGCTGGAACATGGAGGGATAGCCTGGATTTTGGGCTGGGACATGGAGGGATAGCCTGGATTTTGGGCTGGGACATGGAGGGATAGCCTGGATTTTGGGCTGGGACATGGAGGGATAGCCTGACTTTTGGGCTGGATTACAGAGGGATAACCTGGATGGTGCTGTGGCAGAATAACCTGGATTTTGGACTGGACTACAGAGGGATAACCTGGATGGTGCTGTGGCAGGATAAGCTGGATGCTGGGTGATGTTAAGGAGGGATAGCCTGGCTGCTGGATGATGCTGTGGCAGGATAGCCTGGATTTTGGGCTGGGACATGGAGGGATAAGCTGGATTTTGGGCTGGGACATGGAGGGATAACCTGGATGCTGGATGATGTTGTGACAGGATAACCTGTATTTTGGGCTGGGACATGGAGGGATAAGCTGGATTTTGGGCTGGGACATGGAGGGATAAGCTGGATTTTGGGCTGGGACATGGAGAGATAAGCTGGATGCTGGGCTGGATGGTGATACTGGGGTGGGGAGCTCAGGCACACAGCCAGTTCCCCCCCAGGACCCCTGGGAACGGTGCAGTTCATTGCCCAGGCCCCGGTGGCTCCTCAGCCCGATCCATGTGCAATCCCAGAGAGGATCCCCTGTGCTCCTGGGAGCCTTGGAAGGGCCGCTCCCACCTCCCACAATCTCCAGAGGGCTCGGACTTTGACCAGCTCCTGGAGTCCCTTTGATGTCCCGTGTCCCTCCGCATGCCTGAGTCCTGAGGTCACCCAGCTGCCTTCCTTCCCCCTTCCAGCAGCTCCCTCGGGATGTTCCTGCCCTTCCCCAGGATCCAGCAGTTCTCCCTTGCTTTAGGGATAAACAGCATGAATTCCTCAGATTTTCCACGTGTCCCTGTGGTGCACCTGATTGTGGAGAGCACCCACAGACAGCCCGGTTCTGCCGTGGGAAGAGGCTCTGAGAGGCCAGCACTCCTTGGACTTGTAAAATGCCGAGTTTTCCTGCGCTGCAGAATGAAACTCAGCTCATTTACATCTCTACAATGTCCAATAACAGGCAAAGCTTCCTGCAGAACCGGGGCTGGCCTCTGCCCTGGGCTGTTTGCACGGCACTGACTCACTTGGGAATTGTCTCCGTGGCTGAGCCGGGGCTGACCTTCAGCTTTCAGCACAGGGAGGGTGACTTTCCTCACCACTGAGCAAGGTGCCAATGTTTTTCCATCTTGGAATGACTCTAGCTGCCCCCTTTTGTGTGTGAAAATAACCCAGTGTAACCCCAGCACCCTGTGGTATTCCTGGTGGAATCACCTGGGATAAAATGTTATTCACCAAATAAAATGTTTCATTGTGGTGCCAGGCTTAGGAGGAGAACTTTGTGCACTGCCAGGGAATTATTTAGGCTGGAAACCTGCTGGTGTGGGTTAATGAATTGCACACATGGAACGAGCCAGGAGAACTGGAATTCACCAAATGTGACCCTCACTGGCACCTGATCCTCATGGAGCCCTCGGTGCAGCTCTGGCCATGCCTGACCTTGCATTAAGTGCTTCTGAAAATCCCATTTTCCCCTCATCTCCGTGGGATGGGGGCAGCAGCAGGACACTTTGTCCCTGGGGAAGGGACACTGGGGCCATTTCTGCATCAGTCCAGGGGCTGCTTTTTGCTGGGCTCTCCCCTCCCAGCACCTGGAACCCATTGTGGTGGAATTGCTTCCCTCAGCTGCAGCATCCTAAAATAGCTGCTCCGCTTTCTTTTAGAAATAGTCTGTTCTGGGTGTCATTCCCTGCTGAAATTGTGTCTCTCCAGTCCTGCTGGGACAGGGGAGGGGACAGAGGTGCCACCACGGCCACGTGTGAGCCGTGCCCTTGAGCTGCCCCGCTGCCAGGGGCGGGCAGGGAGCCGTGGGGCTGGGATGAGGATTCCAGGATTCCTGGATGGGCTGGGAAGAGCGGCTGCAGCGCTGGGGGAGTGTGCTGGGTACTGCTGGGCGCTGCTGGGTGCTGCTGGGTGCTGCTGGGCACTGCTGGGCACTGCTGGGCACTGCTGGGCACTGCTGGGCACTGCTGGGTGCTGCTGGGCACTGCTGGGCACTGCTGGGCGCTGCTGGGTGCTGTGGGAGCCGGGATGCTCAGAGCCAGCTGGGCTGGAGAGGCTTCAGCTGCTCCACACCTCACACAGCAGCACCCCTGGCTCCAGGGGCAGGCAGGGATTGGGATTTTGCAGTGGATGTTTCCAGTTTCCCAACATAAATTCAAAGGGATCGAATCCTTTGGCACTTGCTCTTGCCAGCAGATTTCCTGCACTGAGGCTGCTCCTGCTCCAAGCGGGTTCGGAACCATAAAATCCCAGAACGGTTTGGGTTGGGAGGACCTCAGAGCTCATCCCATTCCAGCCTGGCCTTGGGCACTTCCAGGGCTGCAGGGGCAGCCCCAGCTGCTCAGGGATGTGCTGGCCAGCAGAAGCAGCAGTGGGCTGAGAGGTGAGCTCAGGAAAAGCCTCAGGACACACGGAATGATGTGAGCCCAGCAAATCCCAACGGCACCGAGCCCGGGAGGTCACACTGTCCTCGTGCAGGTCCTGCTCAGGAGTCCCCTGCTCCCTGCAGAGCCCTTTGAACCTCAGACAGGCCACACAGAAAGGTTTTCCATGATTTTTTAAGCAGCACTGCATCCTGCAGCCTCGAGGGGTGGCTTCATTGACAGCCAGAGCTCCTCAAACGCGGGGTTCAGCGAATGTGAGCACCCCACACATCTGCACAAGCCACACTGGCTGCCTTGGGATTGTGTCCTTCCTCCCTCCCTCCTGGGGGAGAGCTGTTAGAGGTATTTGGAGGTAATTATTGCTTTTATTTGGCGCTAAAGCAATAATTTGGAGGGATCTGCTGGAAAACCGGCAATTTCCTGCGAGTGAGTGACAGATGTTTTGCTGTGTTTGAGATGTGCTTTCAGGCTCCTACTAATTACCATGACACAAATTGGCAGGAGTTTTCTTCCTTTTGCCCATTTTTTTTTTTTTTTTTTTTTTTTTTCCCTTTTTTTTCAGGTTTTTTTTTTTGTAAAGGTGGAGTCTCCCCATTGTGACACTTCAGGAGGAAACGATGCAGAGTTGGGGGCTTGTGTTCAAACACGATTTTCCTAACTTTTCCTCCCTCCCTGCCAGGTTCCTACCCCTCTCCCAAGGCTGGGGCCACGCTGGTGGTCTACAAGGACCTGCTGGTGCTTTTTGGGGGCTGGACCCGGCCCAGCCCTTACCCCCTGCACCAGCCCGAGAGGTTCTTCGATGAGATCCACACCTACTCCCCCTCCAAAAACTGGTAAGAGCAGGCTTTGATCCTGGAGAAATGGCTCTGGAATGCAGCTGGAGGAATGCCTGGGAAGCTGTGCGTGGTCCTGCTTTCCCAGGTGTGTCTCTTGAAACAAAAAAAAGCCACACAAGCACAGCAGAGCTGAGGATGGGGTGCTGCCAAGCGCCTCGTGGGTGCTGCTGCTTCCAGATGCTTCTGGAGTTGTAGCTAAATATTCCAGGCTGCCTTGGCACCCCCATCCAGGTGGGAAACCTGGGTGTTTGAAAAGCCTAATCACTTTGGCTGGGAGCACTGAGGTGTTGCTGAGATAAGCGTGAAGTGCTGGAGGTCTTGTTTTCAGCGGTGATCCAAAACTCAGCTCCCTCGGGGAGATGTGATAAATCACATTTCTCCATCACTTCAACCTCTGCCTTCCCAGCTCCGGGACTGCAGCATCCAGCAATGTCCATGGAGCTGGCAGGAATTTTTCCTTTTCCCTTTCAACAGCATTTGGCTGATTTTAGACCCAGCTTTCTCACCCATCCCGTGTGTGAGAAGGAAAAATGCTGGAATGAGGAGAAGGTTCCTGCTCCTCTTGCACTGAGAACTTTTCATCCTCAAAAGTATCGATTATCCAGCGCACTTTGGGCTGTGTCGTTACAACTCTGTAATTAAAGCTCTTGGAAGGAATTTGAGGCAAACTTAATTGAAAGGGGAGATGTTCCCAACTCGGCCACGGGTCTCGCTCATGCCTTAAAAATGTTTAGCACATTGGGATTTCTAATTAGTTTTGTTGCTATTTGGATATCTGGAGGTTTTCCCTGTGGTTTTCCCCCCGTGACATCTTCTGGAGGATCTTTGATCCAGCATTTTCCTTCGTTGGGGAACGTGTTCTGCCTCTCTTCCCAGGTGGAACTGCATCATGACCACCCACGGCCCCCCTCCCATGGCAGGGCACTCCTCCTGTGTCATCGAGGACAAAATGATCGTTTTTGGGGGCTCCCTTGGATCCCGACAGATGTAAGTTTGGGGTGAGGGGGTCACACAGGCGCCCCTGTGAGCCAGGACAGGGATGGGATGGTCTTGGGGTCGCCCACGAGGAATTTTTTGCAGGATTTTGGGGTCTGCCTGCTGCCTTATCACGCCCTTCGCCTCTTGCAGCAAATCCCAAGGCTCCAGCCTGCAAAAGTCCCAATTGTGCCATAAAACCCAGCCCTGAGGCGAGTTCCACATCCCCGGTTGTATCCTCAGCCCGTGTTGTCTCGTCCCTGCAGGAGCAACGACGTCTGGGTGCTGGATCTGGAGCAGTGGGCTTGGTCCAAGCCCAGCATCTCTGGGCCCAGCCCTCACCCGCGCGGGGGCCAGTCCCAGGTGAGCTCAGCCGAGGCCCAGCCTCGCTCCCAGCTCCAGACAGCTCTCCACAGGCTCCTTCCCAGTTCCCTGTGCAGCCCTGTCCGTGTGGGCACGGTCCCTGTCTCCCCCAGAGCCTCAGAGCCGTGAGGAACAAACCCCTGCCCCGTCCCCACCCCGTCCCCTCGGCTCAGTGCAGGGGCAGCACAGCCTGCTGTGGCTCCGGGCCCTTGTGGCTGCTCCCCTCTTCCCATCCCGGGATTGTCACCTGGCCTGAGGCAGCTGTCCCCATCTGGGGTGGGCAGTGACTGCTGGAGTGTGGCTGGTGCCAGCAGGGCTCCCAGCAGGGCTGGGGTGGCTCCTGCTGGAACGTGGAAAGGAGCCCATGGGGAGCTCAGTGCTGCCAGCAGCTGCTCTCCCAAACAATCCTTCCACCTTCCCTTTGCAGAGGGGTCCCTGGTGCTCTGGGAAGGGATTGCTCTCCTCTCTGAGAGGAACTGCTGTGGGACAAGGAGTGGGATGAGCCCTGCATCCCGCTCGGTCCCAGGCCTGCTCCACTCCTCATCCTGGGGCACACAGAACCCGGCAGCGCCTGTGCAGCTGAGAACCTGCCTCTGTCTGCCCCGGGAGGCCTGGCCAGAAATCCTTCCCAGGCTGAAACTCTGCTTTGTCCCCTCCAGATTGTGATAGACAACGAGACCATTCTAATCCTCGGCGGCTGCGGGGGTCCCAATGCAGTGAGTACCTGGGGGAGCAGGGACACCCCCTTGGCACCTGGGGACTGGATTTGGGGGCACTCTGCACGTTGGGGGCATTTTGTTCCTCAAATCTGGGAATTCACCCAGTAGATTTTCCAGAGAAGCTGTTTAGCTGTTGCTGGAGCTGCTTTAATTAATAAAACTCACCCCAGGCGCTCTCTGAGCAGCTCCCTGGGTTCGCTGAGGTTCATTAAGATGAGCCCTTTGTACTGAGGTAGCAGATGGGGATGAAGGGATTTATCCATGTCCATAGTGAGGTGTGATCAGCTCCTGCTCTGGGTCAGCATCCTCTGTGTGCAGCAGCACAGCACCGCTCCCAGCATGGCCCTGATGGGCTGAGCCCATCAGCAGCCCGGGCTCCTGAACCTCAGCCCAGGCTCCTGAACCTCAGCCCGGGCTCCTGAACCTCAGCCCAGGCTCCTGAATCCCAGCCCAGGCTCCTGAATCTCAGCCCAGGCTCCTGAATCTGTCACCCTTCCCTCCCCAGCTGTTCAAAGACGCCTGGCTGCTGCACATGCAGGCCAACCCCTGGACGTGGCAGCCGCTCAAGGTGGAGAACGAGGACCACGGAGCCCCGGAGCTGTGGTGCCATCCCGCGTGCAGGGTACGGGCACGGCGGGGTCCCTGCTCCCTCCCTCTTTACTCCCTCCCCGGAACGCTCCGGAACCGCTTCTCCCCAGCACAAAGGCTCCTTCTGACCTCTGCTCCCTGCTTTCCCCGCAGGTGGGGCAGTGCGTCGTGGTCTTCAGCCAAGCCCCCAGCGGCAGAGCCCCGCTGAGCCCCAGCCTCAACTCCCGCCCGTCTCCCATCAGCGCCACGCCGCCCGCCCTGGTGCCCGAGATGCGGGAATTCCGCTCCCAGTCTCCGGTCAGGAGCACGGACGAGGCTCCCTGCGTCAACGGCCGCTGGGGCACCCTGCGGCCCCGCAGGCAGACGCCGTCGGGCTCGCGGGAGGGCAGCCTGTCCCCAGCCAGAGGGGACAGTTCCCCGGTGCTCAACGGCGGCACCGTGTCACCCGGAGCGGCGCCGGCCGGCGGGGCCTCGCTGGACAGCCCCGTGCAGGCCCTGTCCCCCGGCACCCCCTCGGCCGCCGAGGGCTTCGAC